TTTCTCCTCATTGCCAGGAAATGTCATGAATTTCAGGACTTTTAAAAGATTGCATTTGTTTGTTTTAATTTTTTAAAGGGGAGAGAGAGAGAGAGAGGTCTTCTATCCACTGATTTACTTTCTAAATGCCCACCACAACCAGGGATGGCCAAGCTGCCACCAGGAACCTGGAATTCAATCCAAGTCTCCTATATGGCTGGCAGGGACCCAAGTACTTGTGCCATTACTTGCCACTGCCCAAGGTGTGCATTGGCAGGAAGCTGGAACCAGAAATGGAATGGGGTCTTAGAATGCAGGAACTCCAATATGGGTACAGGCATCTTAGGGTGAGACTAAACTACTGTGCCAAACATCTAACTGATACAGGACATTTTGTTTGCAAAAAAGAAATACAATTATTATTCTATCTTAAAAGTTGTTTTTCCTCTATAGCAAGTGATGTTCTAGAACTACTGTGATGTGCTTGCTGAGTTGGCAGTTAAGTTCACTCTGTAGTTAAATAACTCAAACCCTGCAGGAAAACATTCAGATTGTGACTCAGCACAAGGACAAATTGTCGTATCAGGAATTTTTAGGGGACATGTGAGTGATTAACAACTCCAAGTTTAATCCCCAATACCATGTGATAGGTCCAAGGGAGTAGCCCTGAGGAAGCTTGTTAAAGGCTCACAACACACACACACACACACACACACACACACAAACATTGACCCTATGTCCTCATAAACAAAGAGTACCTGGGTACATAGGAAGCTGTTTCTGGTCCCCCTGTACACCAGACCGAGAGGCTCCCTTTAAAAAACCAGGCATTTACTATGTATCCTGGGACTGTCAGTTGTGTCTCCGGGGCTTGTAACCTTGCCTCCAGGCATCTTTTCTGATTGGTGTTCACCTGGAAAGTGTCCTGTGCGTCCTTGCCAAGTGGGACTGCATTTGCTTTCTGCACCCAACCGCCTCTGCCAAACAGGGACACAGCTGCAATCAATAACAAAGTGATTCCAACTTCTAATGCAGTGCAGGCTTCCAGATGACAAGGGTCTTCAAAGCTGAACTCCCACCAAAACCAGAAGAGCCCTTAGTTGAGGATAAAGCCCTCATGTTACTCAACCACAGGAGATGCCCACTCCTCTGATTCCCTCCCTGGCCATGATCCCAGATCACAGATATTCCTGGAACCAACGGCAGCTGGACAGGAGGGGCAGAGGGGAAGCACATGAAAGCCCCTGACTATAAATGGGGTGTTATGAAAACTCACCTTGACTAATGCCTGCGATGTCATTTTCCTGTGATAATGAAACTTGTCTATTTGTTCTAGTGAATATTCGTTGCTCCTGTGAAAAATGAAAGTGTTATTTTTATTTGTAGTTATCAGAGTGGGAGATAAAGGCTCCTCACCTAAAGGAGGGTGAGGAGCTTTCAGTGGACGCCGACACTGAGACAGAATCTTCTGGCAGCAGTGAGCCCGGGAAGAGGCTGGACAGGAACACTGTCAACCAGCAAAAACTCCAGTGTGTTCTGTAGAACAACCATTGGAAAGCACTTCCACTGATGAGGTTTTGTTCTCTAAAATGAGTGAATAGTTGGTCTCATAACCATGTCTCTAATATCACAACTTGGATAAAGATGCCTTTCTTTACAATGGTTTTAGCTGCTGGTCTCTTTAATGAAGATGATTCATTACTATCCCATTACATTAACCATTCAGACTGAGTCACCAACAGCTTGGTGGAGCACCTGATTTTGCATGGATGACACACCACACTGAACTCTCTGTTCCTTGAAAAGCAGAGGAATCTGTTCTTTTATATGCCAATTTTCTGTCGTCCTGAGGTGCAGTACCAAGGCTCCATTGTAAACCATGTTTAGTTGCTCTTGAGACAGCCTGGAAATTAACTGGTCAATTAGACTTACAGCCTAGATGTACATCTAATTGACAATGGATACATTTTGCTCCTGTATCTGTTTAGGAAATTATCTACAAATTGCTTTATGCATTGCATGGCTCCAAATTGTTATGTGGACATCTGTTTTTGTTGGCCACAGACATAACATTTACAATGACAATTTTATCATTAACTGAAATCATGTCTTCAACTGACATATTATTCCAAAAATTTCTAACTTTCTTGTAAATATCTGGTGTGTGTGTGAGAGGGATATGTCTAGGGTGAAGGATTTCTTATAAACTATGTCCTTCTCTTGACTTACACCAAGGAATGTAGCTATCCTTGCTGTGTTTCCTAAGGTACTCATTTAATATTGACCCTGGCATAGCAAAGAGCAGTTGCTGTTCTCATCCACATGCCTTGGCTCTGACAATACACAGCTTACTCAGGAAATGCTCCTGATGCAGCTATCAGGCACTTGTTTGACAATCAATATAGATCTCAGAGAAAACCATCATATAGGCCATATTGTATCAGATAGAAAATATCTGATCAGTACTCCCCAAAACTGTCAAGATCATCAAACCAGAAGAAAAATCTGAGAGACTGTCATAGTCCCTAGGAGTCTAAGGTGATATGGATCATTCAGTGAAATCTGGTATTCAATATGGGGTCCTGGAATAGAAAATGACATTAGGCAAAAAGTTACATAAATACAAATAAATCAGGAAAATTTAGAGAATAATAACATAGCAACATATTGTTCCTTGTTATCAATGTAAGATGTTAACAATGAAACTCTGGTTCAGGATTTGTGGTAACTGTGTACTATCTTTATAACTTTTCTTTAAATATAAAAGTATTCTAAATATTCAAAAAATACTTATCTTAGAAAAAGCAAACAGAAAAAGAGATCACATTGAGAGGGACATTGAACTCTGGGTTTAAATTATTGGTGTTTAATTTTTGTGCTGTGGCTGAAGGTACAGACCTGCTTTTTAAAATTTTAAGTTATACATATTTCATGTATACAGATAGAGACCTGGTCTTAAATCACTTTGGACAAGTTACTTCATTTCTCTGATGCTCTGCCTCCTTATGTGTAAAATGGGCATAACGAGGTCTACCTCACAGCTACCTCCAGAGAATCTTGGGGGATGAAATTCATACATATGCTGCCAAAATGCCTCCAAATAGGAAGTGTTCACAAAACAGTGACTATCTATAAGTAAAAATAAAATAAATTTGGATTTTCCTAGTGTGCAGCTACTGACTTCCCATGGAAAGTCTTAGCAACATCCCATTTTCTGGTCAACAGGGTTTCAGGTTCCAAGTGCTATTGCAGGCAGAAGGACCTAGGGTATGCTCTATGCAAAGAAGCATGGCAGCAGCCATCTCAGAGGAGGGAGGGGCAACTGTTGAAGGCAGAAGCCTCTGCTAAATTGAAATGGGGAAAATGGCTTAGAAGCTACATAGAGATTAGTCACAGACTATTACTTGACTTAAGTTCACTGACATATTTCAATGGCAGCTCAGGGTGGTGGGAGCAGAAGGCAGAGAGAGAAGTGTCCTTGTCTGGTCTTCATCAAGCATGTCCTCCTCCACATGGTCCACTCACCATGGCATGGCCATCTACATACTTGCAACTACGATGGGTCATTGATTTTCACATTCACTTTGATGCTTGCCTTGTGGTTTGTGATTTGAAAATCCATTCCACTCAGAAGGAAACCACAAATGATTGTCAAATATTACAAATCTTGAACTCTAACTACCCAGAAAACAACAGCCTCTTAAATTGATGACCTGATAGTCAAGGGCATTTTGTCTTATGTTTCCACACCTCGAAGAAATATCAACTCTATTAAACAAAGAGTGAATATAACTCCAATTTTTCTAACCAGCAAATACACATAAATTGTTCCTGAAACCCTTCTGTGTGCTTCCTCAAAAAGTCTTAGGAGGGACAAACTACTTTAATGTACCCATTATAAGATGAGTAATCATTTGGATTAAAGCTTTACATTGGTGATTGATTTCTTGCACATCCAAATGTTCTGCAGTTTCAAAGAACATATGAAAATCAATCACAGGAAGTATTATTTCAAAGAGTAGGTCAAAGCCAGTGCATATCTAACATTCTACTTCTCACTTTCCATTGTTAACTGGTGGAGAGTCTCAGTAATTGGCTACTTCAAGACAATGTTGTCACTGGGTTCACAAACCTAGTTGGGAATAGCATTACATTTATTAATCTTCAGTTCAGGTTCACCTTAGTAAAAGTCACAGAAATACAACTGACCTTTACATATGGAAGAGAAAAGAAAACTAATATGTTTTCTAGCTATGGGAAATAATTTTAAAATCCTCCTAAATGCTGCAAAGCAATGTTTTCCTGATGGAATTAATTAGAGGGCAGCCAATTCTAAAAGAACGCAAGCACTGTAGAGATGAAAGATAGTGTCAACTTTTCTATTAGCATGAGCTAGAGGGCTTATAGGTGATAACCCATTTTTAATAAGCACCTATTGGAGAAAATACCACCATGTCATAAAAGAGATTCTCCAGCCCCAATTAACATCTGATTATTATTTTATGTCATAATCCATTCAAGAAAATTACAGTATAGTGAAAGAACCTATGAAACTCATTGGGTATTTTATCAAAGACTGAAAAGCAGAAAAGAGGGACTGATTTGTATAAGGGAGACTTTCAAAGGTATTTCAGAAACATAGGTATTATGTGAAGTGAAGTACACTTTGTGGGGTTCCTGTCTAAAAGAGATGACCTTCTCTTTTCCCTGAATCCTCTCTAGGTCATCTTGTCTCCTGGCTTTGAGAAAGGAGTTTGGGTGAGGAAAGAGGTGATAACCACCAGTTTTCCCTTAGTAAGTACCAGCCCCATGGTGTCCTTTAGCCGGGATATTATGGCAACACGCTCTACCTCTCTGTACATCAGTTTGGTCATCCTACTAATGAGGATCATGAATAGAATGTAGCCTGTAGACTGCAGTGAGCATTACATTAGTTAATATATGCAAGGCCATTGAACAAGAACTTGTTATTTTTATTATCATTATTTCCCGGTGCCTGTTTACATCACAAGTGCATGATCTCCTTCACCTGTTGCTGGAGTTTGAAAGATGACCTCTCGGAAGAAAGTGTTGCTGAAGGTGATCATCTTGGGAGATTCTGGAGTTGGTAAGACATCACTCATGAACCAGTACGTGAACAAGAAATTCAGGAACCAGTACAAAGCCACAATAGGAGCAGACTTTCTGACCAAGGAGGTGATGGTAGATGACAGGCTAGTTACGATGCAGATCTGGGACACAGCAGGGCAGGAACGGTTCCAGTCTCTCTGTGTAGCCTTCTACAGAGGTGCAGACTGCTGCGTTCTGGTATTCGACGTGACCGCCCCCAACACCTTCAAAACGCTTGATAGCTGGAGAGATGAGTTTCTCATCCAGGCCAGTCCCCGGGATCCGGAAAACTTCCCCTTTGTTGTGTTGGGAAATAAGATCGACCTCGAAAACAGACAAGTGGCCACAAAGAGGGCACAGGCCTGGTGCTACAGCAAAAACAACATTCCCTACTTCGAAACCAGTGCCAAGGAGGCCATCAACGTGGAGCAGGCCTTCCAGACGATTGCACAGAATGCACTTAAACAGGAAACGGAGGTGGAACTGTACAATGAATTTCCGGAACCCATCAAACTGGACAAGAACGACCGGGCCAAGACCTCCGCAGAAAGCTGCAGCTGCTGAAGAGGCAGTGAGAGTAGAGCACAGAGTCTTCACAACAAGAACACACTTAGGCCTTCAGACACAAGCCCCTCTCCTCTCCTAAACCAAACAGATCATCTCTCACCTCCAGCTGCCAAAAGAAACCCTCCAGACAGTCACGCCCAACACATCTCTCTCTCTCACACACACACACAGATCTGATGCGAGCAGGCAAACTCTAGCCCATGCCTGGGGCAGCTCCTAGGGGCCTGCCCGCCCACCACATGAGCCCTCGTGTGTGGCTGCAGGACAGGCCGGCCGCACAGCGTGTTCTCACGTGGAGTCAGCATTGGAAGCTTATTCTTTGTGTCCACTGGAGAGAGAGAACTGTTTACAGTTAATCTGTCCAATTAGTTATCTGATTTTTTTAACGGTCTTGTGGTCTTTTTACCCTATACCCCGCCCCCTCCTTGAAGGCTGCCCCTTGGGAAGGCTGGTGCCCTGCGCTTCATTACAGGCTCACACCCAGTCTCATCAGGCTGAGTTTTGTATGTATCTGTTAATGCTTGTTACTTTTAACTAATCAGATCTTTTTACAGTATCCATTTATTATGTAATGCTTCTTAGAAAAAAATCTTATAGTACATGTTAATATACGCAACCAATTAAAAATGTATAAATTAGTGTAAGAAAAAAAAATTATCATTATTTCCCAAGCTGGAGAAGATGGTTAGGTTTTTCCATGCAGTTCTGGTCTTATGAAGAGGAGGACATCACTTAAACAGTGAGATACTGGAGATGAGCAAGAGCTCTCCTCCAAAATTACAATTTCACTGGATGGCAACAGGAGGCACTCCAGGCATAGGTTGGCTACATAGCATTGCCCTGAGCCAAGCCCTCAGTTCAACCTAAGTTATCCCAATGAAATGCTAACCAAAAAGGGCAGAGGCTTCAGTTGCCTTGCTCACTGATGTGGCTCATTCCTGCCACTTGTTTGAGGAACATAAAGTGAATCTGGGACTTAGCAAGAAAGAAACACTCCCTTTTCAATGGGTTGCTTAACTGATGAAATAAAAGCCTTGACCTAATGGAGGTCATTTATTTTACTACCATGAAAAAAGCCTGCTTGAGAATGAAGCCAATTTAGAGCACAAAAGGACGAAGAGAAAAGAGAGCTTCTCAAAGACACTTCAGCACCTGGTTACAGCTGTGCCTGCAGGAAATGCAAAGCTGCATTTTTTGCCTATAAGTAAGAACATCAGTATCTTCCTCCCTGTGTGGTTGCTACTGTTGTTTTTCTCTTGAAATCACTTTGAGTTTTATATAAGCTGACTTTTACTGTCCTCATACTTGGGTCTGCTCAAATAGGTGGATTAGATTGAAATGAGAAATAGAACCAAGGACACAGTCCTCAAGGAGATGGAATAGAAGGCGGAAGTGACAGATGAGGTTTCTCAGAGCCCTGCTTTAGATGAAGACGTGAGACTCTGGCTCAACCTTTTGCTGTCCTAATAGGAACCTCAGGGAGAAGGGAAACTCACTCTCTACAAGTTTCCACCATCATTCTTACAGCCAATCCTACATCTCATTTTTACAGAGAAGAACCCAAAGCCTCGTTGATCAAGTTTTCCTGGCCAGGCAGAGTTCGCACCACACAAATTTCATTTCATCCCCACCAAAGCTGGCGCATTTGGAGCACATCGATTTATTTCCAAGCTCCATCTTTTTGAAAAGCGTTTATGTGGCTGGTGCCGTGGCTCACTAGGCTAATCCTCCGCCTGCGGCGCTGGTACCCCGGGTTCTAGTCCCTGTTGGGGCTCCAGATTCTGTCCTGGTTGCTCCTCTTCCAGTCCAGCTCTCTGCTGTGCCCTGGGAAGGCAGTGGAGGAATGGCCCAAGTGCTTGGGTCCTGCGCCTGCATGGGAGACCAGAGGGAAGCATCTGGCTCCTGGCTTTGGATCGACGCAGTGCACTGGCCATAGCAGCTATTTGGGGGGGTGAACCAACGGAAAGGAAGACCTTTCTCTCTGTCTCTCTCTCACTGTCTAACTCTGCCTGTCAAAAAAAACAAAAGCGTTTATGTAGTTAGTTTTTTAAATTAAGGTTCCTCTTTTGAGCTAGTCTCACCCACTTCTACTCTGGTAGGAGGAATGCCTTTCAGTCTAAATCACTCAAGGTAAGAAGGTCTTGTTTGCATTTTAATTCCTATTCGGTAGAATACCAGGAAGCCAGAGAAATCCTCAATTAATCAATTCCTACCGTGGCCAAGTCAGGCATACTTCATCTTCTGATTGGACCCTCAGGGCTGAATTTTCAAAGAATGCATCCTAAGCCATTAAGCCAATAAATGAACCTATTTTCAAAAGACCCATTTATGTAGTTATTTCCGTTACTTGTAGTGGATTTAAAGGCGTAGAATCAGAATCTCTAGCTTGGGAATGGAAGGGACGCAGATCAGAGCTCTTCCTTTCAGACTGAGCTGTTGTGGAGGACACTGCCACTCACTCAGAGCACAACCTGACCACTTGCACTTGGACTATCTCAGTGGATGCCAAAATCTACTGCAGTTGCCATTAAGTTGGATTTCAACAGAAAGTGAGTGGTAGTTAAGTAATTCCTGCCAGAAAGGTGAAAATTAATGGGTTTAGTTATATCCTCTGATCTTGCAAAAACAGTGTATATGCCTTCTTTTCACCACGGTCAAGTCTTTCCAACTCAACACCTTATTATAGTTAACTCTACATTAATTATGATTCAATTAACAGATTGCACCTGAAGGCCCATCATCTTTCTTGTAGTTTGTAGGGCAAGTCAGAATTTCTTCACAAAACTTGCTCTTGGCACATATTCCAAATCTTACTCTATTAGCTTGTTTTCTGTCACTATAATGAAATGCCCAAGGCAGGCTTCTTTATTAAGCAAAGAGGTTTATTTAGCTCACAGGTTAGGAGGCTGAAAGACCAAGATCAATTGGCTCTATCAGGCCTCTGGTGAGGGTCTCTTGGCACATGCCATCATGGCGGGAGCACATGTGAGAGGAAAAGATCACATCCCAAGATGGCAGGCCACATACCAAATGTGGCCCCACAGACCCTTCCAAGGGCACCCGCCCCAAATGACCCAAGGTCTTCTCATGAGGCCTCAACCTCTTGCAGTTTCCATAACACCTCCCAATACCACCACCCTAGAGACCAAGCTTCCAACACATACACACATCCAGGGGACAGACTCAAACCACGTTTAAATCATGGTACCACCACCTAATGATCTTGGATGACTTTGACTTCTCATTCATGATGCACCCCCATATTAGGGTTGTGTTTAATGTTTGTGCTTCTCACATATTAATTTATGCTTCTTGCTAGTATTCTCCAAAATATGTACTCTAGAAAGCTATTCATACAGATGACGTTGAAAAAAAAAAAAAAGAAGAGGGAGGGAAGGTTTCAAGGCCAAACAAGGATGGGAAATATTACACGCTATCTTCCCTCAGGGCTCACAATGCATGACATTACATGTTAAGGTTCTACGAAGTCATATGAATATCCAAACCAAATCAAGCCAAAAATTCTACAAACTGCATAACTGTGCTTTATGCAGGATTTTTAGAAAATCAATTTATCTATATAGAATACTTTCTTCATAGACCTGTATTAACAGTGTACAAGGTTAGTAATCTGGGAAACTAGATTTGTATCTATCTTCAGAGACAAATTCTAATGCTTTCTTTATGGCCAAAACTGAGGAATAGCCATTTTAAATGTATATTAGTGATACATGTGTGTTTGTGCTTAGTATAACATTACATCTGGTTAATTTAGACCCTTGGCTTTATTTAGAAGTGTTTCAGGATGTGAAAATGATTTCCTGCTCTACAGTATATGATTTTGCTAAGAAATTTACAAATGTACATTTTGCATAGATAGTTAAGCAATAGCAGAGGCAGTACAAGTATTATTATAGTTCATGAAAGTGCTAATCATTGATTTTATACTTCTACTAGGCAGGATCTGGGGCGGAATTCCATGCACACCTCGGTGCTTCCCAGCATCCTGCTCAACCAGCACCCCACCTTCTTCTTCTGTCCTCTCCAGTCCATGGGCATAGGCTTTGAATAAGAGGTAAGGAAGCAATAGGCCAACAGTGGGAAGGCAGGAAGAGGAAGGCTCTGAGGATCTGTGAGGACATCTCAGGAATGGGGAGTGCAATTGTAGGACAGGTGCTATGTTCCACCCATTTCCCAGTTGTGCCCAGTCTGAACATGGTTGCTGTATTTATGTAATTAATCAAAGGTTCTAAGCAGTTCCTCAAAGGGCAAATGCTACATTTGGAGCCTTAATGTATTTCTGATGCTAAAATTTTAAAGGTTTCACAAATATTTAATATGTGTGTGTGTGTGGCTATATATTCTTAAATTCAGGCATATTAGAGATCTTTAAAAAGTCCATGGGAAAATGTATATTGTGAATACATGGATTTCAAAATTTTTTGCACCAAAATAAACCTATCTTTTAATTCTATTTTTCATGAATTTTTTGAAGTTACCTCTTGAGTTTGTCTGCACATGTGTGTATGTAAAACTATTTTTACTTTAAAAGATGCTTAGGACTTGGGGGTGCAGGTGTTAGTATCTTCATTTGGTGAATAAGACCACAAAGCTTACATAATGAGTCCATTGCCCAGGCACAGTGAGCCTCCAAATTCTTCTCACTCAATGTACTAAATCCTGTGGCACCTGAGAACTAGAGCTCTACATTTGGTCTGGAACCACACTCTAATTTACTAGCATGTAAACTATCATTTCACACACACTCCTCATACCGAACTGCCAAGTGATTGTGTTTCTGAAAGAATTAACATCAGTAGAATACCTTAAATGTCTGAAGTCATTTTATATAACCGCATACACAAAGCAATAGAAATTCAGTCTACTTGTTTTGTCTACAAATGTCAAACAACCAAACACCTGGTTTGATTGATTTTGTAAATTATGTTGATTGGTAGTTTTTATGAAACAAACATGCCACTTACTCGTGCTTGTTCTTAAATGTAGATTCATGTTCAGCATCAAACTCTATTACCACTCGCTGTAAAAATGCCCACACTATGAAATATTCCTCACTT